ACAGGTACATACAGACAGGCATCAGGAGCTCTTAAGCCTGGTTTCCTTGGAAAGCTGAGCTGTAACAGAGTCAGAAACATGCAGAATGCTATACTACTTTTTTTTTTTAATATATAGTGTTATTCGAAATCCAACTCTTGTTGTCACTGTATTTTTGTAAAGCAGAAACTGGGCACTCTTATGCTTTGCCATACGTATAAATATACGTATAAATAATAATGGCACCGAAAAGCAAACCCATCCGAGCAGAATTATTTCCCCAAAATCTGCATGTCTTTAAATACATCTGTTGTACTGCTGGGGGACGAGGCAACACGTGATATATACAAATACTAAAATATGACACTTGTATTCTTATTTATTTAGTCTGTATGTCTTTCTCTGCAAAAATACAGTTCTCTGGATCAAGCTGTAAAAAGAAAGAAAACCCTTGAAATTGTGACAAGTGCTTGTTTCGATTTTTCCCGCTGGGTTTTAAAACCGATGCAGTACTTCATGCAGAAGCCACCTCCGTTGCAGAAGGGCAGGGAGCCTCACCTTGCTCTTCCCAGCCCATCCTGAGATTTGCTGCAAAAACCTGCTCTGGGGGCAATGCAATGCAAAGGGCTCTTGCAAGCTTTTCTCTCATCGTGTATCCCACCACCCCAGTGCTCTTTCCACTATCCTGGATGTGCGCTTGGGGCTCTTGAATTTATTTTGAGCAGTTTTTAGTAGTTTTCTGTCAAGACCCATTACTCCTCACTGGCACAATGAAGCAGGAAAGAGAAGAACAAGCTTTACCTTGCCTAACTGGAGAGACCTCCAAAGTGCATTTAGGATATACTGCATATTTCGTTGTTCCAGATCAAATCCTATCAGACTGTAAAGCCAGAGCGAAAGTCACTGCTGCACAGCCCTAAACCCCCCTTGTTTTATCCTGAGACTGGATTTTGTTCCCTGCTGCTTCCAATATCATTCCAGCATCTCAGATCCAGCTGGGTTCTTTTCCTGCCTCTTTCCTTAGCCTCGTTTTTTGTCTCCAAAAGAAAGTGGTAAAGTTTCCCAACGAGTATTTTGGAGGGCTCTTGTGCTCTGGGGTAACCGCAGGGGGAAGGGGCCGGGTAACTGCCAGCTCCTCCACAGCGGCTTTTGCTCCCAGTGTCCGAGGGAGATCAGGCAAGGCAGACACATGGGGAGCAGAGATGGTGTCTGAGGGCTGGTTTTAGGCTTTTCTGGCTGTCGCCACAGTTTCAGATCACAGCAGGGAGGGTCTGTCCATCACCAGCAGCAGCCCTTTTTCTTCTGGGGTGGTTTTGGTACCTCTTCTGCTTTATTTTTTAACTCCTCTTCACGAATTTTGAGCAACCTGGGAGAAAAGGAAGCAAATTAGCCAGGTATTTCCCCCACAGTGTGCATTGCTGTGCTATTTGTCTTGACAAGCATCAGCGAAGGAGGCTCAGCGTGGCTGAAAGGAGTTAGGAGCCTTCCAGCTCAGGGCGATTTGAGAACCATGGCCTCTGCTAAAAATGCCAACCTAAATCAAATCACAGACAGAAATTATTTCAGTCAACCCAGGCAGAAATCAGCAGCATCCTGAGAAGGGTTTTATTAATCTCCTTGCAACGCTGACTGTTCAGGAGACATCTTGCAGTGCTTCTCTCCAGCTCATCCCAGCTGCTCTGAGTTTTCCCTGGCATTTCGGCACACGGAGTCTCCAGTGCCAGTAATACACCCACATTCGGAGGTAAAAAAGCAGGAGGGAGCCCATTAAATTCAGGACAGCTAGCAAAATCCAAGCCTATGCCTCACCTGATTAAGCTGACCATGGACTCGGAGACGTTGTGGCCCGAGGCAGCGCTGCATTCGTGAAACACCAGCTGATGCTCCTGGAAGACACAAAACCCCAACAGAAATGTAACTTTCTGGCATTGGAATAGCTTCATATGGGAGTAAATAGCCAAGGGACAGTCATGGTCAAGGGAAAACAGGAGGATTCAAGGAAACAAATAAATCAATAACTTATTTACTGGAATATGGGGGTGAAATCCAGCTTTTCTGGTAGCTATGACACCAACTTGGAATACCGAGGAAAAGGCTAACACTGCAGACAGAACAAGATGTGATGCCCTCTGGTTAGTGGAGCGAATACGGAGATGTTAACTAGATATTCCTGGGACTTTTGTGACTGGTTTGTGATTAAAAAGAAAAAAAAAAAAGCATCTAACCCCATGTCTCCATTTGTAAAACCAGTCAATGGATGCTGGCCTAAATCCCAGAAACTTTGAAAATAAGTCAATAAAGGTGAGATTCTTCTCACCCAATTTTTTTTAGCAATTTACATTTGAAGCGATTAATTGTACTTTAAGCATTTCAGTATGTTTAAAACAGGTTAGGGCTTGGTGGTTTTATTATTATACGACATTGGGAAGACATGTGACACTTCCCAGCAAAGATAAGCGGAGCTGGAAATGTTTTAATTTATAGATCCAGTTCCCATAACTGGTTTACTGGGGCGGTGCAGAGCCAAAACCAAAACGATAAGGGGAAAGCAAGGCAGGGAAAGGGGAGAGACGTGTTCAGAGGTCACTTTGCCAACCACCAGTGCACAAGAGGTAAGTTAAGGGCCTTTCTCCAGATCCTCAGGCTGGTGGCACCCAGCCGTAGCTGTCCTTGCCTAACCTGGGTGGACAGCACGCTTTAGCGGGGCCGTGCACCTACCTTGGCCAAGCGTTCCCCCTCCTCCGTAGGGACCTGTCTCTGTGCAGCGCAGTCGGTTTTGTTCCCGAGAAGCAGAACAGCGACTCCGTCTTCTGCTCCTTCCTGGGCGATTAAAGAGGGGAGGATCAGGAGCGTGCCTGAATCTCCTTTCAATCACAGGCGACCACACTGTCCAGACACATCCTGGAGCACCGTGAAGGATGCCCATGGATTTGGGCCAATAACAAACCCCTTAAATTCTTAAGTGAGTTTAACAGCGTGTAAGAAAGGGATTTTTTTTTTTCCCCTTAAATCATCTGTCCTGGTCTATTAACAGGAAACACTGCAAAAATGTGAAAATTGTCAGTATCTGAATTTAAACCCTCCAAGAAAAATTATTTTCTAACCAAAGCAAAGCAGAATGCCCTTTACAAAGTGCTCGGTCACCCCCAGATGTCCCTCCCTAACTGGTGGCAGAGATCAGACGGGGAAACGCTGATCTCGGAGTCACCACCAGTTTCCAGACCTTGGGGACAGATCGAGGTTCTCCTGCTTCACCCACCTGGATGCAGCTCAGCCAGTACTGCACGTCCGAGAAGGAGCACTCCGATGTGACATCGTACATCAGCACGACCCCGTCTGCCTTCCGGAAGAACTGCTTGGTGATGCTGCGGTACCTGTGTGCATTTTAAGTGGTCACTGATAAAGTCTGAGGTGGTTTTCGACCAGGAGCGATCTGAAACCCCCCGTAGGAAAGCTCGGAACACGTGTCTACAAACAAGGCAAACCCCAGATTTTGCTCCTATCCTGATCACAGAAGCTGTACAAACAGCCCGAGTGCTTATTTTTATCTTAATTACTTCCTTCATTATTCTTTATCAAATCACACACTGTACAGAGTCCCTTCTTAAACAGCCCCTACTGTGCTTAGCAAAGCCAAGAATATTCATTTCCACTGAACTGCCAGAGAAAAGAAAACCACAGCTTGCTCTCCTTGAGCAGAGAGCACAGCACCTCACCTTTCTTGACCGGCTGAGTCCCACAGGCGGAGAGCAAAGCGCTTGTTGTCCACAACAAGGGTTTTGACCTGATAATCCAGTCCTAGGGGACACAAAAAGGGATCTTTTGATATTGTAGAGTGCACCCCTGCGACAGAGGATGGACAGAGAAGGCACACGGTGCAGGTGTGGTCTGAGGCTGCAGCTTAAGCTGGCTGGTCCTAAGTGAACCTCCAGCTTTTAGATCTTTGATGGCTGGATTTTGGGAAGGTCTCTGGTCTCATGATGAGTAAAACCAGGTTGGTTAAGAGAGGAGAATATAGCTGAAAGGCAAAGTAGAGAGAAAAGCACTAGGGCCATTGGTATTTGTGCCCTAGAGAGAGCAAGGAGAACCAGCATTGCCTGCTCCGGCATGTGAAGCTGGTCGTCTGATTTGGTGACGGGTTGTATAGCACGCTTGGCGTGAGCTGTAACACGCCTGTACTGATCACCACCAGCTTGTGGGGTGAAGGAAAGGGAACGTGAAGGTCCCCCAGGCAGCTGCAGAGCCAGGCTGGGCAGGAGCTGGAGGACACCTACCTACAGTGGCAGTGAGGTGTGGGTTGAAGGTGTCAGCGTGCAACCGGTACAGGAACGATGTTTTGCCCACGTGGGAGTCCCCGATGAACAGTACATTGTAGAGATGGTCTGGGTCCAGGCAGGCTTCAGGAGAACCCCTTGGGGCAGCTCCTGCCCCATCTGCAGTCACGGCCCCTGGTTGTCCTGCGCTGGGCTTGCCTTCTTGGCTCATTTTCCACCCAACCTCTTGCTTCTTCTCCCGCTGACCAGCATTGAGGTCTTTGCTATGTTCTCCCAAGAGCTGCCTTTGAGGCTGCATGCTGCTGTTGGCTGCAGCCCCCAGTGAGCAGTCTCCAAGGACCAGCCCCAACTGATCCTTCCCACCATCTTCCTCTTGTTGGACCCTTGTTGATGCTGGTGGCACCTCTTGTTTTGGAGGCTCAGCAGGTCTGGCAGCTACCTGCTCTGTTTCCATCACATGCGGTGGTTTCTCCTCCGGCTGCTGGGGAGCAGTGTGAAGCCTCATCTTATCTGCCTGTGCTGAGACCTGCTCCTGAGGCTCACTTTGGGCTGCCTGTCCCGAAGCGCCTAGCCGCTGCACATCTGGAACGAGAACATCCTCCTGCATCATCGCTTCCAGCTTTAGCGTGCTGATTTGTAATGTCACCTCAGAGACCGGGGGGACCAGTGCAGATGCACCATCATCACGGCCCTGCTTTATGCCTAAACTCTGAATCTCAACTAAAATCCTTGCCCCTGCCTCCAGCCTCTCTCCCCGTACCACTTCCAGACCTTGAGCTCCACCCAACAGTCTCTCCTCTGCATCAGCCCGGACTCTCTGTGGTATTTCCCATATCTGGGTGTCCTCCAGGATCTGCCCATCTGGACCAGTGAGTGCTCCCAGCTTTGCTTCCAGACCAGGACCCTCAGCGGCATGTACAGGGTGTAAAGTGGCTTCAGGCGGAGGGGACACATGTGCACCAGCAGTACCCTCCCCCACGCCTGCGGTGTGAGCTGCACACAGACCTGCCTCGGAACCAGGACTCTGGCTCTGCTCCCCTTTCCACATCCCAACTGCACCCAGGGGTGCCACATCTGTCTCTGCTCTCCTTCCCGAAGGAGATTCGAGCTCC